TTGCGTGGTTGCTTTACAGAATGAGATAGTAGTTTTGGTTTTGCGTGGTTGCTTTACAGAATGAGATAGTAGTTTTGGTTTTGCGTGGTTGCTTTACAGAATTGGGATTATCTGGGGCTTGGGGTTTTATCTTCATGTAACCATTAGTTTTAGAAACTTTTTTCAAATTGCACAGGAATTTTGTAGGATGTCTTTCTTTTGCTTTCTATAGTTCATCTTTCTGTTGACAGACATTGAAACTGTTTCCAATCTAAATGATGACTGCATTCAATCACATCTTCCACCATATTTAAGTATCATTTTAAGAATATGAATTTTAGGAGCTAGAGAGACGGCTCACTGCTTATGAGCACTGGCTGCTCTTGCAGAGGACCTGGGCTCAGTTCCTAGCACCCATATGGTGGCTCTCAACAACCTCCTCCAGTCCAAGCAATCTGATTCCTCCAAGACTCTCCAGGCAGAAAGCACACAAGTAATATACATAATTTAAATTACTCACATACCTAAAAGAAAAATAAACCTCTAGAAATTATATTTTTAAATTTACAAAATTATAAATTTAATTTTAAATCTGGCTCCTTCAAGACTCTCCAGGCAATAAGCACACAAGTAGTATATATAATTTAAATTACTCACATACCTCAAAAGAAAAATAAACCTCTAAAAATTTTAATGAAAGTAAGAATCCTAATGTTGCTGGCAATCAATTTGTTTTATAACTATATACAATATTCATCAAATTGTAATCATAGACCTACTCATGTAATTACATACATAATAAAAAAATCACTATGGGAACAAAGTAGAAGTTTTGCATTTTGCATTTATTTCTACATGCACATCCTGTGCATTGGAACAGGTATGTTAGTTACACAGCTCTGGGTAACAATTTATCTTGGAACAGTGGTTGAAAGCAGTAAGTAGGCTTTTCCCCAGTGTCTGAGAGTCAGCTCAGCTGGGCCCGAGGCTCCAGGTCTCACAAACACAGTCAGTTGTCAGCCGGAACTATAGTAACCACAGGCTCAGCCTGCAAATCCACTTCCATAGGCACTCGCTGTTGGGTGAGGGTTGAGGGCAGGGGCTGAGCCAGTGGCTGGTGGGCACAGACACTGTTTCCTGGCCCCGAGGCTCTTTGGGTAGTTATGATAGATACCTGGTTGTACCTACAAAGGCTCAGAGAACAGTGGGGACCTAATACCTATACCCTCAAAGCATACTGAAACCCTACCCACAATGCGATGGCACAGTAGGGTCCGATGAGGTCGTAGCAGAGACCAATTTAGGAAGGACGCCAGGGGAGCATGCTTCCTACCCACAGCATAAAGACGGAGGCCCTGCAGGCCTTAACCTTGAACTCCCTTGACCTACACAGCTGTGGGAAGCAAATGTTTTTTGTCTTGTGTCACCTAATTTACAGCATTTTGAAACAGCAGTCAAGTTGGCTTGGAGAGACAGGGGCAGACAGCAAGAAATCGGTCTTTTTGGTAATATCACCTCAGAAATGACATCTGGCCACTTAAAAGCAAAGTCTGTCCTCACTAAAGGGGAAAAGGTTGCACAGCTTGCACAGCAACAACCCCAGGAGGAGTGGCTACTGGAAACCAATAGGAATCATCTCCAACTGGCGTCTCCGTACCGCATTATAAACCGCTTACAGGCCGCTGCATGAGGAATCAAAGAATTAGAATGCGCGTAAGTCCTTGGGACAGCACCAGAGAAACATAAGCTAAGTCTGGGGATGAGACAAAGCAGAGTTGCCAGACTCCACACCTGTAAGGTCCAAGCTCACCTCCAGATTTGAAAAACCCACCAATCCCTCAGCTCAGAAACCCACCAGACTCTGAACTTGAAATCCCACCAACCCCTGGGCTACACCCAAGTTCAGGCCATAAAACCCCACCAATCGCAGGCCACCAGAAGAGCTCTGGCCCCTCCCCCTCAAGAAACCCTATACAAAGCCTCTCTCCGGCTCAGTTCCCCAAGCTTCTCCAGCAGAGGCTGCTCCCACCCCCCTCTTGTGTGAGGTTCGTTGTATGGTGTGACTTTGTGGTATTCCTTGGCTCCCGAATGCCAGAATACCTTTCCCCTCGGAGCCGCAACACTTAGGGTGACCACACCTGTAATCCCAATTCTTGAGGCACAGGGAGGACCATTACCAGTTCCAGGGCAGCCTGAGCTGCCTAGCTCGGCCCTAGCAAACGAAGCGAGCAAACCGACAAAAAAAAAATAAATCATGTCTATTTCAAACAAGTCCACATTGATCGTTCAAGACGCACTGTGGATGACCCTAGGTTGTTCAGAAGAAGTTGGGGTATTTTGAGCATAAAGAAATTACCCTCAGAAACAGGGGTACCTTATAAAGCCAACACTATGACCAGGAGGCCTCAGAGTCATCACCAAATTTCCCATAAACTTTCCCCTGATCAGAAGTTTTCAAGCTCCAAAATAAACCTAGTCATTTCTAAGCCTAAACAGGAAAAGAAAGACCTCCCCGGTTCTGCTCTGCAAATGCAAACTATTTGTCTAATTGCAGAAGCCATCAGTTTGCAAAATCACACTATTCGTAAGTTACAGAAGTAAGGGCCCACGAGTCTGCATACTGTAGCATTTCTCACCCAGGAAGGTGCTGGGGGATTTTGTTTTTTTTTCAAATAAGATTTGTTAGCAGAGTTTTTAGTATCAAAGCTTGGGCTCTGGCATTCCTAAAAGCCAGACTCTTGACCACATATCCTCAACAAGCCAATTAAAAAAAAAAAAAAAAAGCAAATAGTGAAAAGCAAAGAAAAAAAAAGATTTACTCAATGTTGCCACATTAGAGACCAGTGACCCACCACCTCCGAGCTCATGCTGGGGTCCTGACAGGAGCTTTAGGTTTCAGCAAAGCACCAGTGGCAAGCTTGACTAAGCATGACTCTGCCTATCACCCCCATGACTGTCTCAGATCCAGTCTCTCCTAAGAGGTGGTCTGACAGGCTTTCAGAGCTGTGTGAGATCGCAGGTTCCTACTCTGGCTGGCACCAGGCCTCAGCCTTCTTCTTATGGCATGCGATTCCCAGGGAAATTTTATCTTCTTGGAGGCCATCGTCTGATTGCCAACAGGAGAGACACAAACTCACATGTCCTTATTCTTACCAGGGCAGTTACAGGCGTGCTCTGAGAGTACAACCCCCCCTATGTCCCCAGTTTTAAAGGTACAGGGAGGCACAGGGACTGGAGAGCTGGCTCAGTGGTTAACAGCACCGACAGGTCTTCCAGAGGACTCTGAGTCAGCACCATATGGCTACTCTCAAGCCTCTGTCACCCCAGTTCCAGAGGATCTAAACCCTCATCTTCTGGCACCAGGCACGCACAGACAAACATGCTGGTGAAACACCCCTACTCATAAAATAAATTCAATCGCAATTTCAAAAGCGCAGAGCAGGAGATAAAGAGAAATGTCCTGCTTGACAGGTCGCCTAAAATTCAATGGGGAGGAGGAGGAGGAGGAGAACCTCTTACCCAGATGTAGGAAATGAGTCATGACTCAAGAGATTACAGAAGGGTTCACCCTCTCTTCCTGAAGCCCAAAAGTCACCTATTAAGCCTAGGCCCAGGAACACCAATGTTTCCTGGGGCAAATACATCACAAAGCATGCCAATTCCGCACACAGCACGCATCTGAATACTCAGTGAGTGGAAGCTCTGAGCCTAAAGCTCTCTACCTCAGAAGAGCTCAGGCTCCCAACACGGAAAGGCCACCTCTCTCATTCAAGCTCCTAGGGAAGAGAAAGGAGGCCGGAAAGTCCAGTCTAACAGCATGGGAGGCCACTGATCTGACTGGGCCACAGGCCTGTTCCCTACTGTCAGCAGGAGACTTCTTACTTCTTGATTGGCTTTTGCTTTTGCCCTTAATTACCCTGGTCGACTTAATCAAGGGTGCCGTGGCTTAAAGGAAAACGATTCTCTATACCAGGTGATTCATCTGCTGGGGTAAAGGTTGATAGGTCAGTTGTGTTTTAGAATCCAAATTCTCTGAGCAGAGAATTGCTTTCCCTGTTTATTTATTTTTCCAGCAGCCCCTGAAACCACACTTCATCTTGAGTTATCAGGGGCTGACAGCACTTGTCAACAGAGTCAAGGTAAAGAGCCCACTTCCACGGGAAACTTTATCACACTCTAGGAATGGAGTGTGCCTAACAGAGGCCAGAGGCCAGAGGCAAGGGAGCGCAGTCTGTCGTAAATTCCAACTGCTAGGGTTCTAACTTGAGTGGCATATCTATATTCTCTAAAAAAGGTGAGGCTGGGGTGCCTTCATTCCTGCCATCGCTCCCATACTCTTTGTGCCCGGCAAAGGTGAAAACATCTGATAACCAGGATCTACGCTTCCCTTGCAGGCCAGCTCATCAGTGACGATGGCCCACACGATGCAGCTTCATTACGATTGATGGGCTGCTTTCTGACGCTGGTGAGTGAGCTAACCACCCCATCTCAGTGATGCAGGAGTCAGATAAAGATACGGGCTCTAGGGCAGCTTCCAGCCTCCTCCGCCTACCCTGAGCAAACTGAACTCCATGTCCATTTCCTCAACTGGAACTGCCGTCCTATAAGGTGCCTCCAGAGTCTAGAAAGCCGCCTTTGCGCACATAGTGGGTGTTCAATAAATGTTAGTGTTGCCCACATAGTGGGTGCTCAATAAATATTAGTTATAGATGCCACAGTGCCAACCTAGAAGTTCATTAGTTTTCAAAAACAGATCCAGTGATTCCTGAACAGCTAGGCAAATGCATGACGCCAGCCTCACATGACAACACTCCTCACACACCCAACCCCGTCCTCTGTCCCTTCCCTTCCCACATTGTCTTTCCACACCCATATGCCCTCTGCATTTTTTTTAATCTTTTTGTATTGCCAGCAACCGAACCTAAGACCTTTCATAAGCCAGACAAGCGCCATACCATTAAGCTACGTCCTTAGCTTTTCTTTTCCATCAAGGACAGTATTGCTAAGTTGTTCAGGCTGACCTGGAAGTCACTCCAACTCAAGCAGGCCTGGAACTTGGCCTCTTCCTCAGCCTCCGGTAATCACCATGCCCAGGTCTAAACTTGTGAAGGTCTCTCCCCTGAGTGACTTACGGGCCTCGCTTCCTTCCTAGAATGTAAACTGAGTAAGAACCATTTTCAGAACCTGAACAGGAGTTGACGCACACAAATGCTAAGGATATTTTCTGGGTGACTGATATTTATAACGGATACGTTTTTCTACAGCTTTAGCTAACCCAGCCACCCACGAACTCTTCCTAGGTTCTTTGTAAAATTGAACTTTTTCTTCTGAGTGACATGTTTCTATTCACTGCGTTTTAGACTGCAGCTAACATTTACAAGACGCTTATGATAGATGAGGTTCTACAAGAATGACGTACATGAAAACTCCTCACTTCGATTGTTGAAACTCATTTTTACAGAGTAGGAAAACAGGGCCAGGAAGACGGCTCGGCAGGGTAGTGGTGCCTACCATCAAGCCGGACAACTTGAGTAAACTGACTCCCACAAAAGTGTCCTCTGACCTCCACATGGGCACACCGACCGTCACACACAAAGTAAATCAGCACATTAAAAAGAATTTGCTCCAAGTCACCGGGGCACTATTTTCTCCATGTCCTGACTAGCCTCTGTTTCTCCTGCCCAAAAAAAAAAACAAAAAAACAAAAAACCCTACCAGCTTTACCGATTCCAGTGTCATCGGTTCAAGCATAACCACTTTTTTTTTTGCCCCAACAATTATGAGCACACTGTGTCCATTATATTAAAATGTGGTTCACTCTAGTTTCTCAGGCTTCCCTAACTTCTGTGGGTCCTGCAGAGTGAGAGTCTGGAAACAAGCTTTATTGAGACTATGGAAACCCTTGTAGATTCTATTACTAGAGGAGGAAGTCAGGTTGTAGATGCCCTCTGCCCCTGCTAAAGGTGTGTTTTTGTTTTTGTTTTTTACTTTATGGGCATGTCTGTCTTTGTGCACTTGTCCTGGTTCCAGATGGCATCGGATTCCCTGGAGCTGGGGTTCCAGGCAGTTACAGGTGCTGGAAGCCGAAATCTGGTCCTCTAAGAGCAGAAAGTTTGAGGCATCTCTTCAGCCCCGGTAGGCGCCCTTTATTAATCTACATCTCTGAGACCTCACACATGTCGGCGTGCACAGAGGAACTTAGCACCAGCCCTGCCCAGCCGAGGATTGCTCACAGGTGAGACGAGCTCACCCATTTCCTTCCTCCGCGAAGCTTCAACGCCTAACCCAGGCTTGCACCAGGACTAGCCACTAAGGACTCGGGTCTCAGAGGACAGAGGGTCTCCCACTCCGACTCCCAACCCTCGTTTCTAGTTACTTTCCGGAGACTGCAGTTCTCCACCCCGTCAGAGACGTCCTAGAGGTCCGAGGTGTCTTACTTAAGTCGGAGGCGCTCAATTCCAAGACGCTTTCTTTCGCCAGTGGACTTCCCGGGGCCAACCCAGTCTCCCTCCACACCCGGAGGGGCGGGGCGGGGCGGGGCGGGGCGGGGCGACCGCAGCGCCCACCACTGTCGTACCTAACCGCCGGGCCGCTCCGGCCAGACTCGGGGTCCCGCCCCCGCGTGGCCGGCTACCGGCCGAGCCTCCGGCTCGCACGCTCCTCCCGCGCCGCCCCGATGACTCAACCCCGAGAGAGACGTGGGGATTCCACGCCCCGCCCACCGCCGCCCCTCCGCGCCCCGCCCACCGCCGCCCCGCCCCCGGCGCCCCGCCCCCGGCGCCCTCGCGCGCCGCCCACGCCCCCGTCCGGCCATCAGTTGCCCCCTTTCGCTGGAGGCGGGCGTGTGTCGGCGTGGCTCCGCCGGGGAGGGTCGAAGGCCTTCGGCGACGTCGTCTCCTGGAGCCGCTGACTTCCGCAGACGCCCAGAAAGCGACCCCGCGCCGCGGCGACCCAGCCGCCCAGCAGGAAACGGCTCCTCCGGCCGGCGCTGCCAGCGGGGCCGGGCAGAGCTCGGCGGGCCGCAGGGTGGCTCTGCCGGGTCCCGGCGCGCCGGGGCGGCCGCACACGTGTCTCGGCGTCACGTCCGCGCGCGCCCCCGGGGCTTGCGTCAGCGGCCGCCCCTGAAGCGGGTGGGCCGGGACGGTGTGCGCCGCGGAGCCCCGCCGCCGCCCGAGGAGGAGGACGAGGACGAGGAGGAGGAGGGCACCCCGCGCGGCCGCGAGCCCCCCGAGAGCGTCGGCCACTCCGATCCGCGGCGCGGTCCTGTGCCCGCCGCCCTCTCGGTGCCGCCGGTCGGGTCCGCGCCCCCGGTCCTCGGATCGGGCGCTGTGGCGTTGCCCCGGAGCCCGCCACCCGCGGGGCGCGCACCGCCTTGACCCGGGCGGCCCCGCGGCGGCAGGCGGACGCCGCAGGTCCATGGTGGGCTCGGAGCGCGATGAGCCGCCCGTCCTCCACCGGCCCCAGCGCTAGCAAACCTTGCAGCAAGCAGCAGCAGCAGCCGCCGCCTCAGACCCCGCACGCTCCGTCGCCAGCTGCGCCCCCGGCCGCCGCCACCATCTCGGCTGCGGGCCCCGGCTCGTCGTCCGCGGTGCCGGCCGCGGCAGCGGTGATCTCAGGCCCCGGAGCCGGCGGCGGCGGCGGCGGCGGAGCCGGCCCGGTGTCCCCGCAGCACCACGAGCTGACCTCGCTCTTCGAGTGCCCGGTCTGCTTTGACTATGTCCTGCCCCCCATTCTGCAGTGCCAGGCCGGGCACCTGGTGTGTAACCAATGCCGCCAGAAGTTGAGCTGCTGCCCGACGTGCCGGGGCGCCCTCACGCCCAGCATCAGGAACCTGGCGATGGAGAAGGTGGCCTCGGCGGTTCTGTTTCCCTGTAAGGTGAGTCCCACGGCCACGCTCGGGTGTGCCAAGCCGCCGGCCCGAGTCCCGGCCCGTGTGTCCTCTGGCGCACTCGCTCGCGGGCGCCAAGAGGCGAATGGGGACCTCTCTCTCTGTCTCTCTCTCTCTGTGTCTCTGTCTCTCTCTCTGTCTCTCTCTCTGTGTCTCCGTCTCTCTCTCGTGTGCGTGTATGTGCGCGCGCGCGCGTGTGCACACCTGAAGAGGTGAATGGGGACCTCTCTCTGTGCCTGTCTGTCTGTCTGTCTGTCTGTCTGTCTCTCGTTTGTGTGTGTGTGTGCGTGCGCGCGCGCGCGCGTGTGCACACCTTGCCCACCGTTTCGGTGCCCGCCTGTCCACTTTGGGAACAAGGGTTGATGTTCTCCAGAGCCCTGAGCCCCCGGTTAGTTGCTTCTTGCTGATGGTTGCGAGCACCCCGGCTCTCCCAACCCAGAGCCGCCGCGTCCCCGGCAGGCGTGTGCTCTGTAGGGCTGGGCAGCTGGCGGCGGGAGAGTGTGGAGGTAGGAAATGGACGGTTTCCAGCCCTAAGCTCGGCAGGGATGGCGCCGAACTCCTCCTGGACCCAGCGCCTAAGCTTTGGGAGCCCCTGGGGGTGCAGCTGCAAAGAAAGGGAGCCTGGGTACACCCTGCTGCTGAGAAAATCCTGCAGCCGGCCACGCCTTCTCCTCGGCTGCCCAGGACCGGGAAGGACTCGGTTGTGGCTGCATCAGAAGTTATGGCTGCTGCTTGTTTGTTACTAAGGGCGATGAACTCGAGTCCACCAGGACTTAACGAGGACACCCAGGGGCTTTATTAGTTTTCTTCAGTGCCAACACTTTAAGTGGAGCTACCTGTGCTCTTGGGGGAAAAGCTAACCACAAGCGAAAGTCCAGGCTCTCACTGCCTTGTCCCCCACCGCTGTGTGTTCAGGGCCTGCGTTATACCCTCACAGCTAAGTACAGAACCATTCATGTCTGTCCGTTCCAGGAAGCTCTTTAAAATGCCCACACGGAGACTCTGCTTTTTTTCTCCCAATAACCAGCTTTCCAAATTCATCTCCTCACCTATTTCATGTCTGAAACTTGACCTCCTGTATTTTAGATGACTGCTAAGTTTACCCTGTGTGGTCATATGTAACATCCTGTTGCCTACACTGAACCCCCTTTTAAAAAAAAGTCCTCACAGTCCCATTTATAAATCTCTTTGTAATCGAGACTTCTAGCAGGGAGTTCATTTTCTGAACTAACTTTCGGGTGGAAATAATGTTTCCTAGTAGTTGTTCTTGTTTTTTTTTTTAACAAATGAAAGTAACTGTTCCACCTGAGGCTGTTTAAGTTGCCTTTCATATCTCCTCACTGTTGATTAGTTTCTAGGGCAAGAGCTGTTTTAAATTAAAAATAGTTCACTGAAGACTTTAATGTTAGCCTTGAGAGTCAAGTAGGTAAAATGAATGACTTAATTTGGTCTTCTGCCCAGCTACCAGTCCAGCTAAAATAGCATATTCAAATAAGGGCTTGAGTGAGGGTTAGGCTGTGGGGCCACCTCGTTCAATTGCTTGTTCCTAGCCCCACCCCTGTAATGCTTCCTAGTTCACGAAGCTCAGGTGTTTCGTCTCTGCAATTTGAATAAAGTATTTCCACTGCTGGGCCCCCCTCCACCCTACCCCCTTATTGAAATTAGACTTCTTTTTTCCTTCCTGTAATGTTTCCCCTACCTCTCTACTCCTCTCAATTCCTTGACACATCCCCTTCTGTCCAGGGTCCATTCCCTTTCTTTTCCTTCATTAAAAAGCAAGCAAGCTTCTAAAGGATGAGAAGAAGAAAGAAAACATCAGAATTGGACAAAGCAAACAGGGAAATGAGGCCAAGAGAAGGGATAAGAAACAGACCCACTTGTTTGCACATCCAGAAATCCCATAAAAACACTGAACTGCACGCTGTAATATATACTCAGGGGACCTACTGCAGACACCTACAGGCCTTGTGTGTGATGCTGCAGTCTCTGTGTTGATTTAGAGATTGTGTGTGTGTGTGTGTGTGTGTGTGTGTGTGTGTGTCCATACTCCATCCCTTGTGATTTTTTTCTAATTCCATCCATTTATCTGCAATATTCATTCCACTTAATGGCCAAATAAATACTCCATTGTATAACTGTGCCACATTTTCTTTATCCATTCTTCTGCTGAGGGGCGTGTAGGTTGTTTCCATTTTCTGGCCATTATGAATAGAACAATAGTGAACATGGCTAAGCAAGTGTTTCTGTGGTAGGAGAAGCATCCTTTGGGTATATACACAAGGGTGGCATAGCCAGATCTTAGGGTAGATCAGTCTTCGTCTTCCTGAGAAACCACCACGCTGACTGATTTCCACAGTGGCTGCACAAGTTTGCACTCCCACATCCTGGCTAGTGTGACGTGTCACTGTGTTTCTGATCTTAGCCATTCTGACACGTAGAAGATGAACTCTTGTATCAGTTTTGATTTGCACTGAGGATGTTGGACATTTCCTTAAGTGTTTCTCACCATTTAAGTTCAGTCTATTGAGGATTCTGTTTAGATCTGTACCCCATTTTTTTAAATTGGATTATTTGGTTTTTTGATATCTAGTTTGAGTTCTTTATATATTTTGGATATCGGTCATCTAGTGGATATAGAGTTGGAAAACATCTTTTCTCATTCTGTAGGCTGCCACTTTTTCTGAATGACTGAGTGCTTCGCCATGTAGAAGCATCTCAGTTTTCTGAGGTCCCATTTATTAATCATTGATCCTAGTGTCTGTGCTAACAGCGTTGTGTTCAGAAAGTCTTTTCCTGAGCCAGTGAGTTCAAGTCTGTTCCCTACTCTTCTCTTCTGTCAGGTTCAGGGTTTCTTGTTGAGGTCTTTGGTCCATCTGGGGTGGAGTTTGGGGCAGAGGGATAAGTATGGGTCTATCTGCATTCTTCTACGTGCAGACACCCGGTTTGACCAGCACCTTTGTTCCGGTATGTGTGTCTAACTTCATACGAAACCGGGTGTCCATAGGTGTGAGTTCGTGTCTGGGTCTTCAGCTCAGCTCTTTTGATGAACAAGTCAATCTGTCTCCATGACAGCTCTGCAGCACTCTTGAAACTGGGAGCGGTGACCCCTCCAACGTTCCTTTCATTGTTCAGGATTGTTTTAGCTGTCTTTGGTTTTTCTGTATGTGAAGCTGAGAGTTGTCCTTTCAAGATCCATGAAGAATTGTGTTGGCATTATGATGGGAATTGCATTGAATCTGTAGATGGTTTTTGGTAAGATGGCTATTTTTACTGTTAGTTACTAGATTTACTACTGATTTATGAACATGGGAGTTCTTCCCATCTTCTGGTATCTTCAATTTCTTTCCTCAGTGCCTTAAAGTTTTTATCTTTCACTTGCTTGGTTAGTCACCCCAATAATAATACTATTTAATATTACTTGAGGTTATTGTGAAAGATGTTATTCCCAATATTTCTTTCTCGGTCTATTTGTCATTTGTATATAGGAGGACTACTGATTTCTGTGAGTCAATTTTGTATCCAGGTACATTGTTGAAACTGTTTATTAGCTGTAGAAGCTTCTTGATGGAATTTTTTCAGGTCACTTATGTATACTACTATATCATCTGCAAATAAAGATACATTTGACTTCTTACGAATTTTCTGGATTTCCTCAGTGTCTCTTGTTATATCCCCCTTTTCATTTCTAATTTTGTTAATTTGGATAGTCTTCCTTTTAGTTAATGGGTTTGTCAATCTTTTACTTTTCTCAAAGACCCAACCATTTGTTTCATTGATCTTTCTACTGTCCTCTTTGTTTCTATTTTATTTATTTCAGTCCTGAGTTCATTTCCTGCCATCAACTCCTCTTGGGTGCATTTGCTTCTTTTTGTTCTAGAGCTTTCAGGTGTGCCTCTAAGTTGCTCCTTTGAGACCTTTCCAATTTTGTATGCACACACTTAGTGCTGTAAACTTCCCTCATAGTGTCCATAAGTTTGAGCGTATATCCATTTTAATTTATTTCTAGAAAATTTCTAGAAAGCTTAATATCTTAATTTCTGAGTTGACATACTTTTCGTTCAGTGGTGAGCTGTTTGGTTTCCAGGCGTCTGTATACTTTTTGTTGTCTCTGTTGTTACTGCTGTCCACCTTTGACCTGTAGTAGTCAGACAGGACTCAGGGAGCTATTTGGATTTTCTCGTATCTGTTCAGACTTGCTTTGTGTCCAAGTATATCATCAGTTTTGGAGAAAGTGTCTTGTAATGCTTTTACCTTAATTGTTCTAGTATTAATAAAAACTCAGAAGTCAGAAATTGAGATAAAAAACCTGATAAATCCAAGGAATAATTGACCCTACTCTCCACTTTTCCCAGATTGAAAAGGCCCGAAATCTCATACAGGGAGATAATATTTATACCTTAAGAAAAGTTTTAAAGAGTCAAATTAAAACCAAGGAATTATGGAGATCGGTAACAATAGAATTCTCCCTTAATTTTGGTTTTCTCCTGTCCCATACCAGGTGGCTCTTCTGATATGAGACAGATTTTGGATTTTCCTCCAACAAGCATGCTTGGATTTAAAGGAGAGAGCCACACCCCCAGCTCCAAAGTCAGCTTTAATTTCTAATTGAACTGGGACCACAAAAAAAAAAAAAAGACCATTGCCTTATACGTCTGTAGAGAAAAAGCAGAAATGCGCATTTCGGAGGATTTATGAAATTTTATGCTGACTAAGTATGCTGTACCATTAGACCAATTTACTCTTTTTCTTGGGACGTTTTCCCTGGATGATTTATCCTCCTTCAGATGTCTCATTTGCCCGGTGGTCTTCAGATTCCTTAGTTTGACGTTTTTATTCTCCTGGAAAGACAAAAACAAAACCCTGCCCTAATCATGAGTTTCCCTTTCTGGCAGGTTATGTCTGATCAAATGAAGACATTTGTTAGTCTTATAAGTTAGTTTTGACAGATTGGCCACACTGTTTGACGAACTGTTGCCTCTCCTGATCAA